TGTTTCTTAAAAGTTCCCCTCTTGGTGAGCTCTGGTGGCCTAGTGGTAAGAAGCTGCAACTACAATCCCAGAAGTGCACGGTTCGAATCCACCAGATGCTCTGCCGGGGAAGGAGGGACAATCTCCTCCTGTACAAGTCAGATCTGATTTGACGGTACACTCACACAAAAATAATTAAAAAAAAAAGTTCCCCTCTTGAGGTATTTCTGTTACAGCAGGAGTCAACCATGCTTGACCCATAAAAATTGCTATTTTAAATGTTTCCTCTTTAGCACTTCGATGAAAAAAAAAGTAGGCCCATTTATCAATATTTAAAGAGCTTGTTTTTCATGACCAGCTGATAGAGAGCTAAATCTAAGCATTTCCACAAGGAGGCATATCTACTCTTTTGCAAGTAAAATTTAAAAATACCATGCTGTCAAAAGAAGAAACAAGTCTGTCTTGAAGGAAGTGCAGCCAGACTGCTCTTGAATGGCAAGGAGGGTGAAAATTCTTCTCACGTTGGGCATGTTTTCAGGAGGACCCTGTTCTTGGAGAGTGGCATTATGCTAGGAAAGGTGGATTGACCTTGTGACACCCACACTGGTGTGGAGCCAGAGAGACATCGTGAGCCTGGCACAGGAGAGGGCCACGTTCAGATCTGCTGTTCACAGGGTGTGTTGTACTGAACTCAGTGGCACCTAACAACAGCTTAGAGGAGGCAAGCAAAGTTTGACTGAGAAATTGGGTTGTCAATCTTATTAGATACAGCAATAAAACTCACTAGTCGAAGGGGAGCTTTGGTGGCCTAGTGGCAAGGAGCTGCAACTACAATCCCAGAGGTACACGGTTCGAATCCACCAGATGCTCTCCGGGGAAGGAGAGACAATCTCCTCCTGTACCAGTCAGATCTGATTTGACGGTACATGCACACAAAAATAATAAAATTTAAAAAAAAAGACTCACTAGTCGTGTGTGTGTGTATATATATATTTATGTAATATATGCAATATATGCATGTGTGTTGTTAGGTGACATTGGGTCGAGTACGACTCATAGAAACCCTGGGAACAAAAGAACCCAGTCCTGTCCTGTGCCGTCCTCATACTTCCTGACACACAAGAGCCTATTGCAGTAGTCACCTTGTCAGTCTACCTGGTTGATGATCTTCCTCTCCTTTTCTGACCTTCCACCCTACCCAACATCATGTCCCTCTCCAAGGAAAAGAACCTCCTAGCAATATATATATATAACTATGTGTACACACACACACACACACACACACACACACACACACACACA